CATGTAAAGATCCCCTGCACAAAGCGGGTGAAGACCACTGCACAGAGCGGGATGAAGACCCCTGCACAGAGCGGGGTGAAGACCCCTGCACAGAGCGGGATGAAGACCCCTGCACAGAGCGGGGTGATCGAAATGGAAAGCAGATTATTTCTTTTTTTAAACTATTTTTTAAAAATATATTTAAAAAATTAGTATTATATACTTACTATGAACAAGCCATTGTTCTAAGCACTGAGCCTGATAAAAATTATGATGATTGCACAGTAGGAAAGTAAACCTAAAATTACACATGTGCTATTGATATTTTTGTCTTGATTATGGAATTTGGGGGATGCATTTTCAAGATTGAGTCAGATAATTACTTGTCTGGTTAATGTGTTGTTGGTTCCAGTGGTAGCATGGTATCTTCATGTCTTACTGTGATTCTATTTCTGTCACCAACGACAGTCCTCTAACTTAGATGAAGACTGTAGTCAGCATGTGTCTCAAGTCCCATTCGGGCAATAACTGGCATTTAGTGAGCACTTACTATGTGGTTGTGTTCTGTCAGTCCCTGTGGGCTTTGTAGAACATGTTTCAAAGACAGTCCCTGGCTGTGGGAGAGTTGAGCTGGGGGAAAACGCGAGGACAAGATAGGGAAAAGAGTGATTGAATGTGTAATGGCGAGTCGAGTGTCAGGAAACTCAAACGTATAGCTGTCATGTCGTCGACTCGTGTTTGACTGTCCAGGTTTGCTGAGGCTGTAAATCTCATGGAAGGAGATTGCCCACCTTTCTCCCACAGAGCAGCTGGTGGCGTCAAACTGCCAGAAAGGCTCCAGCTTTGGGTGAGCAGCACCACTCCTCTGACTAAGCCAGCAGAGCTCTCCTTTAAGAATCTCAAATTCCTGGTTTCACTGTATCCTTCAGCACGGAGCACATTCTATGTTTGTTGTCTCATAGGAATCATGATGGTGACGGTTTCAGAGTGACTGTATGTTGACAGTCCTGTACCATAATCAGTGCTTCATTATAAAGCCCATTGACGCAGCCACTGTGTCAGTCCATTTGTTGAGGACATTGCTCCTTTTCACTGACCCTAAGCTCTAAAGGAAGTCTCATGCCTTCCAGGAACTCTTCCAGGAGCTGTTTCTCTTACAGTCAATTGACTGTCTCTTGGAGCATAACACAGACATGCTGTTGTATGCACGCAGAGGAGCCCTGGTGATGCAGTGGTTACTTGCCCAGCAGCTAACCTAAAGGTCGTCAGTTCGGACCCACCAGCAGCTCTGCTTGAGAAAGATGCCTCGGTCTGCTATTGTGTAAAGAGTACAGTCTTAGAAACCCTGAGAGGCAGCTCTGATCTGTCCTGTAGAGCTGCTGTGAGTCAGAATCAGCTTGCCAGCACCTCACAACAACACGATGCTGGCAGCCGTGCGCCTGGACAGACCACGTTGCTCCTCTTGGTGCCCTGAACCCGTGTACATCACAAAGCAGCCCTGCCCAATCCTGCACCTTCCCTGAAGCCACCTCGTCAGTCTGCCTCACTGAGGGTCTTCCTCGCTTTCACTGACCCCCGGCTTTACCACACACGATGTCCTGCTCCAGGGCTGGCCCCTCATGCTCTGACCATGCCCTGCTCTCTAGCTGTAAAAGCTGTCTGCCCTGCTGGGAGATGGGCGTCCAGTGGGAGAGCACACAGCAGAGCAGCTGCTGCCCGCCCCTACAGCTGCTCCCCGGGCTCTCACCCCGCCTGGACTCCGTCCCTCCGCCCAGATTCTGGCTCTCACGTCGTGTCTTCCCAGCTCTCCGGTTCTGGGCTGGCCTGGGCTCAGAGGACCAGCGCACTGTGAGGTCAGGGTCAGCCTTCCACTCTCTGCAGGGAGCTGGACATTTTCTGTGCTGACTCTGGAGCAGTGGCCGAGATGGGCAGGGAGTTTTGTACCAAAGCTTGACTCATTTTCTGCTCCATGTAAAGATCCCCTGCACAAAGCGGGTGAAGACCACTGCACAGAGCGGGATGAAGACCCCTGCACAGAGCGGGGTGAAGACCCCTGCACAGAGTCGGGTGAAGACCCCTGCACAGAGTCGGGTGAAGACCCCTGCACAGAGCGGGTGAAGACCACTGCACAAAGCGGGTGAAGACCCCTGTACAAAGCGGGTGAAGACCCCTGCACAAAGCGGGTGAAGACCCCTGCACAAAGCGGGTGAAGACCCCTGCACAGAGCGGGATGAAGACCCCTGCACAGAGCGGGGTGATCGAAATGCCGCGTGCGAAGGATGGGAAGAACATGTGCCAAAGGGTTGGAAGTACTGTTTTGAGTTGATGGAGGGTGATGAGTGATCATGCTATTGAATGTCTCCCATCCTCAACACACATGCCAACTTTATAATCAGATGACAGTCAATAAATACAGGCAGCCCTCGTGTTACTACACTTCTCAGGGACTGTAGTTTTTACAGACGAGGCTGTGGCGCTCCTGCTCCCCAGCCAGCCCACAGGCACCATCTTCCCTGCAGCCTGTGCTCCCTCCCTTCTCATTCTTGCGATATTACAGACTTTCTCCATGATACTGGATGCTTAATCGATTGTCGGTGTAACTTTTCCACACACCCAAGAAGCTCCAGCTCCCTGCTGTTGAGTTAGAAGCTGACCGTCCCTTGGTTTCTGAGGCTGTAACCCAGGGGGGAGATTGTCCGTCTTTCTGTCCTGGGGCTGTAGTGAATCTGGATTCCTGGCAAGGCTCAGCCTTTGGGGTCAGCTGTACAGCTCGCTGCAGACCAGGCCACCACGTCTGGAGGACACATCATCCCGTCCCGCTCGCTTTAGTTCAGTGTCTGGACCAGAGCCCACAGGACTTTGGAGATTTGTAAGGAAAGAAAATGGAATATCAGATTAGTCAAGCATCTATTAAATGTCAACACCTTTTAATATACAGATGAATCTTTTTTTTTTCTTCAGATGAATCTTTATAATCATATCTTACACAGGGAGCTTTGGTGGCCTAATGATAAACGATTATGCTACCAACCCAAAGGCACATGGTTTGAACCCACCAGCTGCTCCATGAGAAAAAGATGGGTAATCTCCCGTGTGATTTACTGCCTCTGTAAACCCACTAGTGGGGGACCTCTGGGCTGGTTCCGACTCAGTGCTCAACAACAAAAACAACAACAAATTTTCTTTTATGTGGTTGTTTTTAAGTTCTGTTGAGTCAAGGATGACTCATAATGACCGTATGAGCAAGAGGTCTGAACCCTGTCCTACCCTGTGCCGTCCTCATCATCCCCGGCATGACTTCCAGCCTGGACTCTACCTGTAATTCTGTAGCTACGTGTGTTCACAGGGCTGTCTGAGGCCTGCTGTTAGACGGCCCTTCGTCTTCCTTGTCTGTCTAAATCTGAGAGCTCCGCTGAAACCTGCCCAGCATGGATGGCTCTGCTGGCATTCAAAACACCAGTGATTCAAAACACCAGTGACATAGCTTCTGGCATCACAGGAACCCATAAATCAGCCCAGTATATGTTATATATGTGCTGAAGAATGCTCTGGCGGCCTGCTGGGTAAGGAGTTGCACAGATAACCTAAAGGCTTCAAATACACCAGCTGCTCCGTGGGGAGAAAGATGAATAGTCTCCTCTCAAATTATTTACTGTTGGTTCAGACTCAGGTGCATAACAAAACAGCAGCTATATTGATTTATTAATATGTATCAACATTTGATACGCAATTTTCTATATGCTTTCTTGAGTGTTGTCTTTTTGGTGATGGTATACACAAGCAGAGCTGTTTCAACCATTCCTTTATCTGTAAATCTGAGCATCCCTGTCCCATGAGGCTGGCTGTTGATAAAATTTCCAAGAAAAACAGATGAGACATGAGAGATCATCGTGACACACAGCAGACGCGAGGCCCTTTGGGGGTGGCTTTTTGGTGCGGTTTCCAGAAGCAGCCGGGACCAGC